CTCCGACCAATGGTCGAAGCTGAACAACGACGCGCCGCCGAAATAGCGGCAAATCTGGCCCTCTGCTCCGCCGCCATCTCTGACGTCGAAGCCACCCTCCTCTCTTTGACCAACGGGTCAAATAGACAATTCGTAGACTCCATGCGAGTCTACCTACGCGCCGCCATTGCGCAATACATGGCCACGGGCCCGGCCACTACGCCACCCGTTCTCCCTCCTCGCCCGACGAACCCTCTCCCAAGGGCTCCCGACGCCAGGAGACAAACAATACCGACCGTCCCAGCTCTGCCTGTCAAAAGCACCTGGGCCACGGTGGCAAGACACGGACTGCAACAAAAAGTAGGCCCAACTGTGAAGGCTGTGCCGCGACCTGCGGCCAAAGCCCAACAAAAAGAAAACCCCAAGGCGAAAGTCGATAAGCGACTGTTCCTTCGCCTTGAAAAGGACCACCCGTGGCGAAAATTGTCCACAAGCAGCGTGAGAACTAAGTTAGAGTATACATTCAGCTACTTTAACCAAGAAATAACCTCACTCCACCGAGTGAGAACGGGCTTTGCTATGCTAGCAAAGAACGAAAAAATACGACAAGATACTTTAGATGGCTCTTCGAAGCTGGCGAGTCATAACGTCAAACTCGAGGCATCTTCGAATCTTGTAGCCTTACAGATACCAAACGTACCTGTAAGTATAATCACAGAGCGAGGCCCTATGGCGGTCGATTCTGAGTGGGTCTTCGACAAGATTGCTGTTATGACCGGCGCAAGACCAATACACGTCCGACCTCATGGGACATGTCGACCTGGGGCACCGCACCGAAACTGGCATGCCCTTTTCGACCGGGAAGTCGCCCCTCGTGCGGGCTTCCGCCTCTTCGACGAGTCTGGTAGGGCTACCATACACAAGCCTCGTCGACAAATTGAACAGTGTAAACGCTGTTTGGGCTTCCACGCCACCCGTGGTTGCTCCCGCGCTCCAGCCTGCTGGAACTGTGGATCTAACATGCACTCAGAAGCCGAGTGCAAGGCCCTCACTAAGTGTCGCAATTGTGGGGGACCTCACTGATCGGATTCTCGGGACTGCAAAGTCTGACCCAAAAAATCCGGACTGGTGACCAAAGAGCAGCTCGCATGGATACGCCACCTCGAGCAAGGGAAGTTCGCAGAGGCGGCTCGAGCTAGGGCCGCAGCCAAAAAGGCCGAAGAGGCGATTGTCGCCGCGGCGAAGGATACCGCAATGGCCGAGGCAACAGGTTTCGGAGTGCTGGGACCTGAAGAAGAAGTTTGAGGACACAGCAACCTCGACGATGTCCCCTTCTGGGGCATCCACTAACAATTAGCAGGATACCGGCTGGATCAAAGGTGCCTGCTAACTCATCTTTCGCTCTCAGCATAGAAGGAGTAAATTTGTCATTTGGAAGGTGTGACGGACGAGGACGAAGACGAGGACGGAGACGAGGACAGAAGCTGATAATGAGGACGAGATATTTAGATTAATAATTAGATTCTAAAACATGAGTAATTTACAAGACAAAAAGCCACAGTACACATCCAGTCCTAAAGCTTCCTTAAGTACACGAGCTTCAATACTATAACCAAGGGTGTAATAGTTTACAGCCATAACACAGTAACTAACTAGTACTCTGAATGGCAACTGTTGCTATCACAACACTGTAACCATTACAATACCTAAATTGTGTTATTGTATGCACGTCATAACTCGGTTGCCTGGGTGCGACACGACATCCCAGTGATGGTTTGTGACAGTTGGAACGAGTTAGGCCGTAGGAAAGATTACAGGGAACCCTGCCGGCTCCGCCTGTCCTTGACCCAATGTGGAAAACATAGCTTTAGCTTAGGACAAAATAAACAAAACAAAACAAAACATGCCATTAAGCCCCATACATGCTTGCCCTAGCAGACTCGGAACCTTCAGGCAGAAATATTCAGGCCTCAATCCAGCAATCTATTATCTAGACTATGACATATACTCGGGTCTAATGAGTCGTGGAGGGGTTCATGACATGTAAGATGTTTAATATGGTTGGAAGAGTTTAAGCCTTATTTGTTAGGCAGCAGCCTAATGTTAACCAGGTATGAGCCTGTGACAATATATACATCTTAGGGGAGAAGTTCCCACTAGTCTCATGTGACTGTCAAACTTAGTGATGACGAGCCACCTCTCATCTACCATAATAAGCCAAGATACACTGTACTACGTAAATATCAAAATGTATAGGTGACAGTAGGCGTGATTAGCGCACTCGTGACATGTGTAGAGAGAGCCGATCTTGTCGGGAACCTGAGAGGAAACAGATAGTGGTTGAGTCATTAATTCGAGAGTCAGAATTTCCAAAATCTCGTCAACTCCACAGCTTTACATCTAAAGCCCCGTTCACCTACTCCTGTGCTCGAATACCACTCTTCCTTCCTCTCCAACAGCCCGAAATCCCTCTCGATCTTTAACATCACAACACCTTCAAGAAGGTGGCTATATTCCATGGATAAATACCAAGCTCAATGGCTACTCATCACGGGCAATATATCAATAATGTTCGGAGGAACAGAAGAGGATGGAGCTCCTTACTAGGTGTGGCCTGGGCCAGAGAGGAGCTCAATGTGCTGGATAGTCAAAGGCTCATGCAGTACTACAAACACAACTCTCTCTATCTTTATTCAAAGCTGGAACTGGATAGTTCCGGATCCATATACAATCCTCCAGCCGCTCACAGTTGATGCCACTTAATAACTTCATGATTTTCTCTTTTGCATCAGACTTTAATTCCGTACGCAGCCATCGAGTTATGCCAAAAGATTAGAGCTGGATTCCAGAACCCATGACTCAATCTAAAAGTAGAGCACTCACAATCGAAAACAATATTGATTTGGAAAATCAAAGACAGTTTATAGCTCTGTGCTCGTTGAAATATATTTTGATGGCTATGAATCCCGGTACATCCATATTTTGAGGCTTTCTTCTCTACGAGCAAAAATTAAGCCTTTAAGATTAGTAGAATCCTCCAACTGGATCCCACCAAATCGAAGGATTTCCACATTGGGGTGGTAGATTTGTGTCATACTTAATCAACAAATAGAATTCAAGAACTGGTACACAAGCAATTTGATTGATCAAAGACTGGAAAATGACTTTGATATGGAGATACAATGTTAGTGATTGATTTGGATGAAACCAAATACCCAACAAACTTGTAGGGCCATTTATTTTTGTCCAGTTCTTAAGTGTCCGTAAGTATCCAGGATGGGAGGCTTTAACACGGCACAACCAGTCATTTTAGCTGTTGAGAAATAATAAATAATGTGTTGGAAAACCGGTATGGGTTCGATGAGTAAGGCGGCTCAAAGAATATGGGCGCGATTTTATGAATAGAATAATAATGATATGAATCGGGAGAATATGTGATAAACTGTGGAGAAATAAAAGATGGGTTGAATGAATTGAATTGATTTAGATTATTTGTCTTAGTGATTCTTAGACAGCTTATATACATGTAATCTTGATAGACCAAATCCAGACTAGATACCATCCATCACTCGTTCCATACTCTAACAATGACAATGAAACGCACGACAGTATACAATATGAGTATGGGGTCAGGGTCGGTGGATGAAAGCCTACACATGTATCAGACCATACCATGCACTAGTCGAGTCTCAAGCATCAAACATGCTCAGTAAGGGAGATATCAATCATCTAGGTCATGAGTCATGTGTGAGAATCTTAGTTGTTCCAATCATGGGAAACTTCAGACACATAGAGTCTGAATTTCCAACATAATGTGTGTAAGGACTCCATTTTTTTTTTTATATTTAAGTCCTAAGCTGAAGCTCTAGGTCCACTATAGGTACAAGACTGGTGGAGCCGGCGGGGATCACTGCTAACAGGCCCAACTCATTCCAACCGCGAGACCCGCTACAGAAAGATTAGAAGGTAAATTATAACTAAGAAGATACCACCTACTCCGACTTCGAAATCGAGACTCCATCCTTCAACCCTAAATCCAAGTACCTAAAAATTTCCTCAGAGAAACAACATTTCTCGCCTCGTTCTCTTTCGTGTCATGCATTGTGGCAATGACTAGTTTATCTGATCCCCGCTGAGAGCAGTGGATGAAGTCGGTTGGAGTAGTTTCCTTCCCGCAAGAGCACTCCATAGGAGCGTGTGGATTATTAAAACGGCGATGGTATGCCGCAAAATTACCGTGACCCGTTCGTGCTGTGATTAGTGCCCGGAGGTGGTGCCTAGAGAGAGACAGTTCAGGTGGTTTGCGTCTCCGCACCTGTAGGTTGAGTTGGCGGTATTTAGGCGGACAGGCCTCTTTCCACCAGTCGTCTAGCAGCCTCTGTCGTCTGCGATTCATGAGAACACGTAGATATGCCAGAGTACATGATCCTGGTGGTGTCTCCTGGCTAGGTAACTCTCGGAGGGCGGCACGGGCCATGGTGTCTGCCTCCTCGTTTCCTTGTATCCCTGCGTGCCCTGGCACCCATTTTACCAATACTTTTGCCACGTTACCTAATGCACGGAATCTGCGTACATCTTCTAGGCTAGTTGAGGACGAGCCTGTCGTTAATGCGCTTACAACCTGCTGGCTGTCTAGAAACACGTGGATTTGCTGCGTCACTCCTACTTTCCTGCACTGCTCTTCCCCCGTAAATGACAGTGCAGCTTCCAGAGCCTTCCTTGCTCCTGTTATTTCTGCATCCAGCACCTCTCCCCCTTGCTTGATGCCACTTCCTTTGCCGATGAGTTTCCCATCCTTCCTCAGAACGAAACCCCAGGCAGAGCGGAGGATTCCATTGTTCCCGACATTGTATAAAACTTGCCCGTCTATTCACATTTCACAGAATAATACCACACTCCCATGCAAGCATCTGAAACTTTTCAAAGAAATTCTAAGATCAGTCGAATAAAATTGGCGGTAGAACAAATCAATTCTGACACCAACACTTTAAAATTTTCAAATAAGAAAGTTGGCTCAAAACATGAAGAGTTTCACGCTTGCATCAATTACAGCAATGGTAAGCATGTATACGCAAGCATTTGCTTTGGAATATTATAGTTGTAATGGGAAACACATCAATTATTTCATCCTCGTGGATTATGTCGCATTAATGTACAATAAGTTGTGCGAAAGGAATGGGGCAAGCTATTCTGCGGCACCTGGTCCAAATACCGCCCAAATTTCTTTTAGTTACAAATTCGACTATCCACTTGGTGGGTAAACCCTTTATCCAAGATTTATTTTATGTGTATGATTCTAAGCCCAATCAGATGCTGGATCAGATTTTAAAGCTATTGTACGGGTTGAATTTGACAATTCTAAAAATATATTGGAAGTTATAGCTGCCACAGGGGCGGAAACCTATATATGCTATCCCGTAGATTAAAAGTAGTTGTGACTAAGGACAGACTGGCGTATGGGAGGAGAGTCCAGGTGAAATGAGATGAGCATTTTCAAGAAGCTGCTGCTATAGTTATTGCTCTAATAAAGTCCTGAGCCAAAGCTCTGAGCCCACTATGGGTTTGGTTTGGTTTTGTCACAGTCTAAGCATGGACACTTGAGCAACCTTATGGTCAGAGGTAGTTTATTTTCAATCAATGGTGAACTACAGACTAAAGAGGATAATAACAGCTATTTTTTACATCATTATTATCCCAACCAATGATACAGTTTCATTTATGTGTTCGCATATTATTTTCTCGTATCCCGTTCCTGTATTCCATTCTCGTATCTCGCTCTTTGGCCCTCTTCTTGCGCCTCGTCCTTGAGGTTTCATGATAATCTGAATGCACTTAGAAGCCCCTGCTTCCGAGTATAGGTTTGCGCTAAGCCTGCATTATACAGCTAGGATACTTGCATGTACATAACGTAATTATATGTTTACGCTGTTTGTATAGTTCCTGTATTGTTTAGGATATCTGCAGGAGGAAGCTCATGTGGTCAGAAGCCGACTAGCAGCTGCACATGAGTATAAGTAGCGAGTGCTTGGCACACAATCAGCAAAGAACAATCAAGTGTAGTGTACCTCAGATACACATTCAACCACAACCTGAACTCATCAATCTACATACTCGTAAAAGGTCAGCATGCATAGTGTCACTAACCTAATCTCATAACCACAATAGCCTTGCTTTCATGGATAAACTTGGCGGAAACTAGGATGGTGTCTCATGAGGAGTTCCATTCTAAAACACAACTCGGGGTAAGATCAAGTTCTCAAACAATTAGGACAGGCTCAGGAACATAGGGTCGTTTCATGGGGATTGCGTAGTAATACTGTTCGAGACAGAGCTTAGGGCTGTCCTATTATCTGATGTACATATATACCCAGCGTGAAGGAGTATTCTTCTTCACGCAACGTCTTGTGTTTATACTCATACCTATTGTTCACTTACTTATCTCTTCTCTAAAGAAGACCGCCGTTATTGTACCCTTCTCACCTACTTCTTATTTTACCTTGACTTCTTACGTGAACCCTATACCTAACGCTGAATTTATACCTCCTACTCTTAGGAATCATCACCATACTCCACACCTGTAACCTACTTGTACCAAACTCGTACCCTACGGAATACTAATAACACGGCTCCTTGAGACTTGCATATAATTCGAACTTGGCGAAAGGACCAGATTTTCACATAGTACAAGTCCTCTCAAATGGAGGGCAAGACTGAACACATGTACGCAGTGTCCTCTACAAACCTGGGAGTGAAATATTCTCCCAGAGCAAAGTTCAGTCAAATTTCGCAATATCAAAGAAATTGGCCCACGAGGCAATGATTCAAATTACTCCACCATATCAAGCTTTCCCTCCCAACGAAATCTATTCCTACCCAAGCCTCAACAAGTCTACAAGTACGACCTAGTACATCCTCATTCCAACGACCACACTTCCTGCCAACTTTCTCTGGCCTCAGCTGGTCACCAGATAAACGCCCTCGCCGATATTTATACCCGACAAAGGGCGCAAAGCTTGGCGCACAAATCTGGGAGACAGTTCTTTGGGATGGACGTAAGAGGATTCAGGACAAGTTGAGTAGTAGATGCAAAGGATGGATACACTCTTGACAGGGGTGAAATTTTGAATTGTTGCAAGGAGTTTTACGAATTGAGCGTTGTGCGTGCCAAGTCTTCGTTTGCGAGAGTGCAGGCGACACTCTAAACATCGCCATGGCTGGATAGTGCGGTGGTACATCGTCTTGGCCGGTCTGCCAAGTGGGGTCCGGATAGCTTGGACACTTATTCCACTCGAGACAGTAGATCGCTGGTTCAAATCCAGTAAAACACAATCACTTTTCTCGAGGTGCTCGTAGGCATGGATGACTAAGACATGCTTGGATAACCAGATGTTTTGATATTCATTTTGTTGGGTACTTTCAGAGTAGGGTCGACTGTTTGTGTAAGCAAACATACCTCATAGTGGTATTTGCGAATGAATTCCAGAGTATGAGTATCTCTAACGTCAAAAGAGTTATCCGACACGTACACATAGCACCAGTCATGTGTCACAGCTTTATAGCTGAATACACATTGAATGATTTAAAAAAGTTCTCTCAATAATGATTATGTAAGGTAATTGTCAGGGCGCACTTTGTATTCGCAGGATCTAATTGTAGTTATCTCTCCCATGGAAGAATATTAAGTATTTATGGTATTGCTTACTTGCGTGCGCTGACTGTCTGCTTTCACGCTTCACACCTACAGCTAGAGGCTACTTACATGAAGTGCGAGGAGCTTTACGGACACCGTACGTAGATATTACAATACGGACATAAAACTTTGTATAGAGATTTGCTACAGGAATTAGTTTACATTGAATATTGTTGGAAAACTAGAATTAGCATGTATGAAGAGATAGATTGCTAAGTATTATCATCAAGAGCAATTGAATTGATTCGATTGCATATGGCTAAGCATAGCTGGGCCACACAAGGTTCAGTGGTATCTGAAATGCAGTGGCTTGGAAATGCTATCTTACGATAATTGAGTGGCTGGTCATTGCTTGATCACTGGGAGTTTGGAATTACTTAAGCTTTGGGGGTCTGTATTTGAGGATAGAATCAGCTTTTTTTTTTGGCATCAGATTTTCATTGCGTCTACATCTATCTAGCTATGACACTACATCAGAAAAGTTTATCATAGATGATCAATTTATAAGAAGAGCACTTATGACTCGGATTTCATTTGCAGGTACTGTGAAACGTTAAGTCATGTTCAGACATTCAAGTTTGTGTCTCGTCTTATTTCGTTTTTTTACAATGACGGACTTATTGTTTTTGCGGTTGTTTTGTAATTTTTATCTCCGCCTAACGAAACGCAGTTGGCGTTTAAACGTCGCTCTGGATAGTTCGGATTGAACTGAGGTAGAACTTGGATCAAATATGATCATTAAATATATAGAAGAGGTTCTGACCTTAAAAAAAAAGGATAGGCAGATTTTTTTACCAAATACAAACCTCATTTTTCCTAAAAGTCTAATAGGTGCGGCTGCAAGGTTATCGTAGCTTTTTCTTCAGCCAAAGTCAACCCTCATCCGTGAATACCCACCCAGGGGAACGTCTCAAAAACCCTGAGTTATCTAGACATGCCTCCATCATCTTTCAACTTTTCTCCGCGCGAAATGTCATCTGAGGTGTCTCCTCCGCAAGTGGAATAGATGCCCAGGCTTCTCACACTATACCCGAGAACACCACCCGAAGACAAACCTCTACATCTTCTATCGTTGGCTTATTTTTATAGTGTCAGCTACACTCTCACAAGCGAGGTCTTGGCGCGCACAAAGCTCAATTCGTAAAACTCCCTGCCAAAATTCGAAATCTCACGCCCTTCGAGGTTATATCCTTCCTTCGCATCATCTTGTCACTTGTCCCGATCCCTCTCACGTCCATCCTAAAGAATCGTCTCCCAGATTTGTGCGCAACGCTTTGCTTCTTCCGTCGGGTATAAATATCGGCGTGGGCGTGTATTTGGTGGTCAACTGAGGCCAAAGAAAGTCGAAGAGAGGTGTAGTCACTGGGATTAAGATGTACTTGGTCGTACTTGTAGGCTCGATGAGACTAAGGTAGGAGTCAAACTCTTTGGGAGCGAAAAAACGACGTGGAGGAGTAATTTGAATTTTTGCCTCGTGGGCCAACTTCTTTGATATTACGAAATTTGACTGAACTTGGCTCAGGGAGAATATTTCACTCCCAGGTTCGTAGAGGACACCGCGTGCACGTGTTCAGTCTTGCCCTCCGACTTCAAGCATCTGCCATGCTATGGTTCATGGACAACACAACAGTACCCTGGGTAGCATCATTTATGGAGCAGCAAGAATCCATCATCTCTATTGAAGATACTAACTCCCCGCCCTTCCAAACTTACTATGGTTTCCCAAAGGGTTCACCAGTACCGCCAATTCTATTTCTTCTGGCTATGGAAGAGGCACTACGTCTTTCCACTGGCCACTTTGGCTATGCAGATGACATTGCCCTTTTCGCGTCTGCGTCCTCCTTAGACGAATGTCCACGTAAACTCCAGGAGAAACTGGATAGCACTATGGCATGGGGTCTCACTAACGGAATTAGTTTCGAATTTCCTAAGACTGAGTTGTAATACTCTCACCGGAAGCGAGGCTCACTACTAGAGCCTAATCTTAGTATTGGATGGACAACTATAACGCCCAATGATCACACTCACTGGCATGGAATCTTTCTCGTCCGTGCTCTTCGATTCCAATATCATACTATACAGGCTTGCCGGCAGTCTCTAGCTATCACGATGCACACGAAAAGACTGTCCACAACCATTCGGAAATTAGCCCTATATTTCTAAAACAAGCTCTACAAGGTGCTGCCCTTGCAACCCTTTTCTACGGGGCCGAGACCTGGTACTCTAAGCAGACTTCCCAAAAATTTATCTTGCAAGTCCAACATAGGATGAACGACGCGGTACGGGCAGCTCTCTCATTCTACCGTACCATACCAATAGTAGCAATCCTACGTGAAGCTGGCTGGGGCCCAGCTCAGACGTGGCTTATAAGAATTCACAGCCGTCTAGCGGTTCGAATTGCTGCAGCCGACCCCTATCACCCTCTTCGTAGGCGTTGGAACACTAGCCGCATGCGCTGGATCCGCCAGAGAATTACACTAGAACTTTCCGAAGATACCATCCCCCCACCATGGTCGGCACCCCGCGAGGAAAAGCTAATCGAAATTGGGGTAGTAGATAGACTCTCGGGATCAAATTCCTTCAAACAGTGGCACGCTGCTCGACCCATTATAGAATTATTCGTATTTTCAGGTGGATCTCTCATAGCAGACCGAGTAGACGCGGGGTACGTCATCTATCGAGACCTTACGCCGGAGATTGGGCGAGGATCACTTCCGCTAGGAAACTCGGCAGAGG